GGTTGCGCGACACAGAATATCAAGTTCACTTGAACTCGACAAATTGAAACCTGTACTGCTGATAACTGGAAAGGAGTAGCTTTATCTGATCCTTTTGGCTTTAAGCTCTTTCAAGCAATTCAAAGGTTAAATATATATGGGGAAAAACTCGTTAATCTATGGATCTCGCATGTTAAGAGGAATCGACACAGGCTGTTGTAACTCCGTAATGGAACCTCTAAAAATTCTGCAAACGTCTCTCACAGGTAACTCTTTGTCCCCATCTTTTCTGGTTAGTTGTACCTGTTCATGTCACAGGTACATTCTAATGGATTTCAGCACTTTCAGCAAAGCAATGCGCAACCACACAGTTTTAAATTTGCTAAATTATGTTTAGAAGAGTTTGAAATCTTGCATGGCTACATAATCCGCATAGTATTAGTGGAATTTATTTTTCTGAAGATACTCTTTCAGTGATGAATCTAACGAATTTTATACTGATCTTCTATGTTTGGTTTTTAGCTTCGATGTAATTTCGGCATTTACCATTTATATTCACAGTCAAAAGTACCGTATGGAAGACAAGTTGGTTTTGGTAAGCTGGGAAGCGTTAAAAGAAAGCAGCTGAGCAAATGTTAAATTTCTATCATTTCTCAAAACAAATGTATCGTTTTTTGGATCTGCGTGTGTTCTGTGGTATTTTTGTGACAAACGTCAAAACATAAAATTCATGATGGTCTAGATAAAATTCATAGAAATACGTAAAAATTACATTTCAGTTCTTTATTTGAATTGTAAAAATCTTATCGAATGAAAAATATTAAATGATCTGCTTCTGTTCGACATTAATCAGGCAGATCTCGTCGCCTCAGTTAGAAATTATAAAAAAAGAAAGATTTTTGTTATTTCTGCTGAAATAGAGAATAGAATCTGCTTAGAGAATTCTAATCAAGGCTTTATTCCTTTTGCTTCATACTGTTTACTTATTGAAAATGGAGCCTTTTATAACAGTTGTTAAATAATAGTAAGTTTATGAGGGGTTAAAAGAGAAATAAAAGAATTCTATCAAAACGTAATGTAATATAAACGTATACGATAACTTATTTACCGTGACTCATTTTTCCAATGAAGATGGATCGATACTGCTTCACATTTGCAGACATGTCTAAACGACTCCATGATGTGTTTAGAAGAAAAGGAATATTTTATTAGAAACGGAAAAAGAACAGACTGAGTAATTTGAGCATTTTCTAAAGAATCCAACAATTCCAGACAAGGAAGATACGATTACGTAATAAACGATTTCATTTATTTAAGCTATTTTGCTTATATTTTAAGTTGATTTGTTACCAGATGAGTATGCAGTCATCAAACACTTTGATTTATCGTAAGAGTAGTTTTATTTATTTACAGAGAAAATATCCGGTTCAAAACAACTTTTCACGAATTTAGACATTTATCCTACAATTTACAGAAAACTATTCACAATCCAAGTGTAATCCAGACTGATATAATGTCGTTCATCACCTTTTATTTAAATATTTAACGAGATATATAAACCTAATTTATAGTTTCTTCTTATTTAGCCTATAGAGTCATCAGGTTATTTTGGAGCAGGAAAGCGATGCTCTCGCTGGGACTCGAAACTGGACCTCTCCAATACGCTCCGAGTTGCTATCCACAAAAAACCACAAAACGCATGCTGCAAGAAGGAAGGAAATAACCTTATAAACTTTAAAAATATACATATGATAATTCTATCTTTCCATCTTCGTAAGGAAGTAGAGAAATTTCTCATTTACTATATTCATCTTTAGTAACTTCAGACGATGTATTACATTATCTGATCTCAAGCAAGATAAAAATATTTAACCATATGTAAAGGACCAGATGAGTCATCCTCGGCATAAATCTCTAAGCAACGAAATAATGATTCTTTAAAATTTGAGATTCTTTTCCTGTGAAGAACGCGATATTTATAATACCTAAATCTTGTATAATCATATAATTTAAAACAAAAAAGAACTAGTTTCAGCTGAACTTTTCCTTGAACACCTTTCAAAGTTTTTCGGATTTCAGAGCACAAAAAATTACCATTATTGTTATGTCCTAGCATTCTGACATTATTTTATTTCACTTGGCATCCAACTACACTTACTGTTTTACGAGCTATATAGGACTTTGTGATCCGTCTTTAGGAATTGACCACCAGGGTAAAAATAACGAAGAAAATTAAATTATGGTATTTGTACAAAGTATTTATTTTAGATGTATTAATAAACACTAAATTTTACTTGATTAAAAACCAATTAAATTATATGCTATTTAACGGCCCAATACAATACAATTTTTATAAAAAGAAATAAATGGATAAATATTTGATTACGTTGATATATACTTAGAAGTACCAGTCTTTACGCATGGCCGTCTATACCTAATGCAATATAATACGAAATTTCGGATTACAGACTTCTTATTTATTGGAACAACAAACTGGGTTTTATCTACAAACGACCAACCGGAAACGAAACTTCACTTGAAGCTTTTTATTTTTGGGAGGAGGTCATGTGTTGGCAACATCAGATTATTTTTATTTCCTTCTATGAAGTAAAGGAAGTATTGTAATCACAAAAAATTTTCGGTCTCATATTTTAATGAAAATCTATTTTAACCTCTCTCGAATCCATTTGAAGAATGTTTTTTCGTGATATCTGTACGTAAGTGTGGACAGAATAAAAGATTCTTTTTTCAAAAACGGATAGTAAAATAAATTTAGAACAGACTTTGTCGTGAAGAATGTACGTACGTACGTATGTATCCCTCATATCTTACTCAAAAACGAGTAACATACTGAACCTTTGTACATGGGGACCGCTATAATATGTAGTTGTGCACCTTCCTTTTTTGATTGCAATCGGCTGCACAAAACGTATATATATATATATGTATATATATGTATACTCACTCTGTTACCCGGATCGCTGAGCTCAGTCTTTTTATTCTTATATCCTGGTAAATTGTACATTTTTTACTTTAAAAATGATTGCAGGATGCTGTTCTTACGTTCTGGTTAAAGTTTTTATTCTGTTTTGTTAATCTGCATACAATAGTTGTAGAAGTATCAACAATTTAAACGCTTAGGTGGTACTAAGCCTAAACAGATCCTTTTTTTTTTCATTTGAAACTCTTAGTAGAATAGTGAATTAAGTTACTTTGTGTACCAACTTCAGTGTCTTTTGCAGAGTGGAACCAAAAGTAAACTTTCAGTTTTGTGCACCGAAATATCTGTCTTCCTGGCCGAATTGTTTATTTTTGCGTAGAAACCCTAATTTAAGTCGTAAAAATCGTTTTTTCACTGTTTTTAACTGTATTTGGTGATTTATGTTTTTCTGTATTTAACAATTTTTAATAAACGTTCTTTAAATTTTTATGTATTTTTGCCTTGTCGCGAAGTGAGAACTGAATTTATCGAATGAGAAGTATATCTTTAATGAAATTCAAGGTAAATAAGTTCAAATGAAATACAGAAAAAAGAAATATGTATAATTTAATAGGCTGTAGAAAGAAATCATGTTTTGTTCACATCAGATATTTTAGATTCAAAACGTCGCATTCAAGAAAAACGTTAATGACTAACAATATCCAAAATCCTCAGTTTAAGTTTACCATTATGGTTTGAGAATTCCGTGTTTCAACAAACACTATATACATATTAGTAGCTATGTAAAATATTTGGGCTATAATAGGATTTGGGAGTAAGAATAAAAGAGGTAACATAGAAATTACCTCATTAGTCATTAATTAATTTATATTTTGGAATATTGGATATGAAGAAAATCTTAGAATTATATGAACGCGATTATTTGAAAACAGTTATAGAAAAATCAGTGTCTAATTTGTTACATATAATTAATTGTACAGATGATTTTTATGCAAATATTATACAGCGTATGCTTGGTAGGTAAAAATTACATATCACTTGAATAGCGGAAGGACAACTGATTATTTTTACTAGCAAATTAACAAGACGTGATGTCAAACTTGATACAATTAACGAGAGAATAAATTTATTTAAAATCAGTCGGTAGGACAACCGCTGCAATTTTCATTAAATATGACATTCATCATACTTTAATTATTGATTGAAATTATAATGAAAAATATAAACATAGAAAAAGATATAAGCTATATAATTATATACATATTCAGTATGACGAGTAATCAGCAGATTGTAATATCAACGTCAGGCTCATTTTAACAAAGGGTTCGAGGACACAATTCATTGATATATCAAGGAATATGGCCATATCGTTTTGAATAAAAAGGCCTCCGAACCTCTTATGAAGACAGATCAGATTGGAATGCATTTGGATATATTATATTTAAATAACTGTCCAAAATATTGACAAAACCTCAATAAAGAGACATTCAACATCGCATAGCAGAATAGTAAATCATTCATTCTTTGAGAAACATGTGGCTTAATAATCATGAATTACTTATTTGCTTACTTACTAAAATAGAATTGGTTGCTGTTCAGTTAGTCTGCTGGGAATTCCAGACAGTTTCCGACAGCCTCTTCGCTTCGGTGAAATATGGTTCCCTCAGCAAAATGTATCCTATTTAAGCTATGTATATAATGTTATATAAATAGAGATTCATTTGCATTTATAAAAATACTTTAAAATTTTCCAATTAATAGAAGTCGCTTTTTTTTAATGTTAAGTGTGGTGGTAACCAACATATCAACAATGAGTAAAACATGACGCATGAAAAAAGTAGTTTTTCCTTAATAAAAGTACTGCTTGGATTAAATTTCACTATGAAAAACGTTTACTGTTAATTCACATATTTAGTTAACATACTCAATTTTATGACTATAAACTTCAGTCCCGAATGAATAAATTTTTGATATATATTTCAAAGAGCGCATATTATTACAATCTTTTCTAGGTTTTCACAACTTATGCGAGTAAAATCACTTATAACAGTATTTCTTACGTGTTTTATTTTCCTTGCAGATTTCACTGTCGTGAATGTCACTGTCTTGTTATTAACCCTCTCCTCCCCAGATGAATCTAGTTTAGTAAGTAAAATTTTATATTGCATAACTTATCATGCAGACTGCCATTATCTCTTTAGAAATATATCTTTATCACTTTTTAATATGTAGACTGCCATTGCTTCTGAAGAAATTTTATATTTTATTTCTTAACAGATACAATTATACTGTGTCTCTGAATTTTAATAGCAATGTATATGTATATGAATAAACTCATCACAGTATAAATGCTTGAAATTTAAATCTCACGTTTTAAGACAGACCTAAGATTATAACGGTGCAAGAAAACTAAATTTTGAAAGCACAGATGTGCCAAAATTTTACATCTTTGGCTGAAATTCTTATTTAATTACTTCAGTTTATTTTAAACATTGTTTTCACACAAAGATTAATAATCCGATTTTACATGAAATATGTAATACCAATAATAAAATCTTAAATACTAAATCATTTTTTAATTAGTAAAAATAATTTTTATTTGTTCATTGTCTAAATTGCACTAGTAGTTTATTATTATCTAAAATACACATGGTTTATTATTAACTTTTCTTTACACTATAGTAGTAGGTTAAATATAAGTAAGAATTATCCTAGAAATTTTATTTGCATGAATAATTCTGTACACATATCACTTGTCTCTTTCCCACTTTTGTATGCGTATTTCAGTTTTCTGCAAATATTTCATTGTTCGTTATCAAGCATTTTGTTTCCGCTTTTGTAATTTTATATCTGCATTACTATCTTTTGTATTTGCATTGTTTATAGAGTGCTTCACGGCATCGCACAACAGCTTTTTAACATTTATAATCAGTATAATTGCAGAATAAATATTAATTAAAAATTGTACGTGGAAACTTTGATTTAGTAACTACGTACTTTACAGTAGTGAATATTCATCACTGCTAGATATTAAGACGTATGACCTCTCTTGTAATATTTTATAAACCGAATTGTTATCACGTTATGAGATATGGGTTTTATTTCTATTTCTACTCATTCAGAGGGCACTTAAGGTGCTATGCACATTTGTGGGAGAGTTATCCAACAGAATGTGAAAAAATTAATAATAATGTTGTAAGCAGCAATAGCTAGAGTGAGACAAGTGGGGTGTAAGATAAAGGTCAGGCAAGGGAGGGACTTATTTCTGTTGAATCAATACAAGAAGCACCAAATTAATTAGCTAAGAAAACTTAGAAAATCATTAACTTAATTAACAAACTTTAAACATATCAAGAAGTACAGCTATCAGGACTTCTCCTAATCTGCTTGGCGATCATGACGTGTCCTGACTAGACAGTGAGTTTGACTACAAACTATGTCCAATGGAGAGACGACAAGATGAGAAGGGTTTAATTACCTTTTATTTTCCACGATATTACAGGCGCTCCCGCACTTCGTGATACAAAGATCAACCACTTGTGATCTAAACGTAAAAATATGCGAAATACTAACTAACTAAAAATAAGAGTTAACTTTCAAAACTTTACACAAATGACTAACGCTAAGACTGATACGCAGTCGCATGGACCTCCGACCTAAGGTTCCACACCAATCAGAGTTATATGTCCATGCGACGGAAAAGAATCTACCATCCACCGCCAGCGGCATTCACTGAATCAATGATAGTAATATAACCATGCTAAATTGACAATGTCATCTATACAATAATTGTTACATAATAATCCGTATGAAAATAAATATACGATCAATTAATAATTACATTGTCATGGATAGGATCTATGTTATGGAGAGTGGAACTTATATATTAACCAGTTTTTAAACCTATGTCTTCTTCAATACGTCATAACTTCATGTTCTTATCAGTTACACACCTAATGATGTGTGTCCGTATTATTTTTGCAGTTATCCAGAGAGTAAGCCAGTCACATCAGTTCAGGCAATTGATAGTTCCATAGCCCAAAGTATATGATGTTGTGTAGGCTATTCTATGTTCACTTTTGTTAAGTTCATCGTTCAAGTAAATACTACTTGTGCACTTCGATACATCATAACTTCGTGTCCTTAACAGTTTGCACACTTCATTATGTGCTTCCATAGCAATTTGCACACTGTGTCGCAATTATCCACAAGGCAATCACGAAATTGCAATTGGGAATTTCATTGTAATATGCACACTATTTTACTATTATCCACAGAAGAAAATGTTTTGTGAATAGTGACTTGGCTCCCAGATGATAAAAAAAGAAGGAAACTAATTCTTAAATTTTTCAATACAATTCTAAATTGTGCAAAACTACAGATTTGTTAAACAGTTCCAGTCAATACAAATTGACTGGTATTCCAACAATATAAAGCACATATTCTAAAATAAAACGTCTAATGAAAAACAGAAACTAATTCCCAATTAAAATAGACATAAAATACATAATTATTCAGCACATATTATATACCAATCATCATACCATAAAAATACACATGTTTCAAATGCTGCAACTAATTTTTTATTACAGTTAGAATATTTACCAATCAAACGTACTACAAATGTACATGTTTAAAAAAAATCTGCAACTAATTTTTTTCACGGCAGTTAAAATAATAAATTTCTATTATACAATTATAAATAGCACAAATAAACAATTTCAATCTATACAAAGTGACAGGTATTCCTACAACATAAGAACACATATTCAAATATAGCTAATCATTCTTGTAAAATGGCTATAATAGTGCCCAATTTCTTCAAATAATTAAAAACATCTACAGAAAAACAGGAACCAATTCCCAATTGTAACAAACATGAAATACCAAAAATTATTCAGTACATATTATATAGCAATCAATTATACCATATAAATGCACATGTTTCAAATGCTGCAACTAATTTTTCATTACAGTTAGTATAGTTATCAATCCATCATTCTATATAAATGCACATGTTTCAAATACTGCAACCAATTTTTCATTACAGTTAGTATATTCCAATTTGCCAGCTAATAAAATAAATCCGCTCTAAGTTGAATTGGCTGTAATAGTTCACATGCTTAAAATAGTTTCTACTAGAAACAGAAACTTATACCCCAATTGTGATGGGCATGATATACAGAAGTTATTCTGTACAAGGCTGGGGGGGGGGGGGGGGGGGGGGGGGGGGGGGGGGGGGGGGGGGGGGGGGGGGGGGTTTATAATTCCAGATCCTATAAAAAGCTACAAAACATCCTCAGATGCTGTCCTTTTAAATTATTACGTATGTAGTACGCAAACTGTGGAAAACTACAATGCGTCTTTAGCTTTCAAGAGGACTAAAACCTCTGGCCTTAAAGGCGGACAGCAGCTGAAAGCTCAGTCTCTCCCCATCTAACTCTGCTCTCGGCAAAAAGCCACAACATAAATACTTAAGCGTCAGCAAGTACAATTTGCATAAACATATTCACGAGTTTATTCTGGCCGGAAGTGGAAAATAAGAGAGGACAGTACAGTTTTAAAATAAAATAAACGTTAGTAAAACTTAAAATCCTTACACAGCTATAAAAAATCATATCTAAATAAAAAAAACCATCAGAACAATTTGCGATAATTTATTATACTCTTGATATGCTTTCATTCTTGGAGCATATGACTGGCCTGTTTGATTTCTGTTAATTAAGCTTTGTAGCCATCTTCTTGGTCAGAATGGTGTTTCTCGTTTTATATTTGATGCAATAAAGTGTCATAAAAAGCAGGGAAATTGTCTGAATGTAAGTGAATCGATTTATTTTATTGCCTTCCCACGATCAACTTCCTTTAAAATTATTTTTTATTACATGGTTTCCCCTAATTACATGAAAGGGGTTAAGGAATGAATTTTCCACTTGATTTAAGAGATGAATTAGTGGAATTTATTTATTTTCAAAAGGGATGCGGTTTACACAGCATTTTGTACACTGTTTCCTAAATTATATTTTTTACTGCAGTTTCCAGTATCAGAAATCATGCTGAGGTTCATAGTAGCTCAACTTCGCTCTAACAGGCAGTCAGCGAACTGAGCTTGGAAGATTGTATTTTGTTAGAGTTTGTTTCAGCAAACCTAACACGCAAGCTGCAATTTCATCAAAAGATTAAACAGAGATTCATAAAAATGTAAGATACCATTTTATCAGATTTGCTTGATTTTTCGTATAAAACTTCCTTTGCTGCATTATTCGCTATAAAATGAGCTGTTGAAAAAACGTATATTTCGAATTTTGAGTCTGTTACATACATATCCATCCATAATTTCCCTCTGAAATGTATAATTGCTTTCATTTACATTCAATGATTAGCTACAATTACTGGTAGAGAAATTAAGTAAAGCGGCCATTTCATTTCATTTCCTGTCGTTTCTAGTTCATCTGAAAATATGTGTACAAAGAAATAATAGTATCAAACATTGCAAGGCAGTATCAAATTTAATAAAGAAGAAAGCATAAAATTTTTAAAGAATTAAATATAAAACATATTGTCCCGGCTGTTTCTAAAATTATTGATATTAGAAAACGCGTTATTACTGGCTTTCGCTAATACCGGTAATTTCGTCAGGGTTATAGCTTCCGATTTTCAAATTAAGATAAAATAACGTAGATCGTAAATCATCCTTCCTTAGCAAGTACTCTCCTCGAAGAGACATTTGCTTTCACGTCATGTAGTTCTTTGGTAGTGTCATGAATAAAATAATATGAAGCCTGCATAATACCCAGAGTTTGGGAGTAATATAAAAACTGAAAGCTTTCAGATTATTATTATTTTTTAAATTTTTGCTTATTTATTTATTTTGTGGGTGTAAAACTGAAAATACGTTTTTAATTTCTTTCATTCACTGAAAAATGTAGTAATTTAAATCTTTCGTAAAATCGAAATTTATAAAAGCAAACGTTCGTAGAGCAGAGGACATCTGTAAATCTTTCATTTATTTATTTCGTATTTAAGAAAACCTCGATTACTAACTGAGAAAAGTTGCAATCGAAGTACTCGACAAACCATTTGCGATTTTAATTCACACCCTTTATTTGCTACAGGCGAAGAAAATAGTATATGATGATGAGTGATTT